TTYATTTWMGTRTTAAAATATGCAAWAAAATTGTTCGTGTGGTCGCTTTTGTATTTTTTGATCATTTCTTTCAATTCAAAGGCAAAGCAACCCAAGTGATTTTTGTTGAAAAATGTATTAACAAAAGYTTTTTATTCCGTATACAATAATTAAGTTTTGGTACTTAATTTCAATCGTCCTATCGCGTAAACTAATTTAATTTATAAACGAAGAATTTTCCACGGTAAAAAAACTTTGTTGATTCATTTCTCTAAATAAACCTTTCGTGACTTAGGACGATCAAAAATAGATCAATTCAAAGACAATTCGCTAGTTTCACCCCAGATTATTGCTATTCAATCCCACTTTTATTAATTGACAAAAGCGGGAACAAATTTGAGCGCGCATTTAATTTTGCAAAAAAATTGCCCCATATGTGCCCCACTATGATCGAAAACGAATGCAACTAAGCTGGATCTACACTAGACTTTTTATCCATCCCCTGTGTGTTTCTTACAGGGCAGGAGGTCTAAGCCCGGGCTTAATCTCTCGAGCTGCCCATGATACGGCCCTAATCCCAAACATTGAGACAGGTGGTGGGCTGGGGCTGCCCGTTTTAAACTCCATCGACATACTAAACTGTAGATCGCTGTCCGGTTTCAATCATTTTTGGCTTGCAAGTAAAAAAAACAGCATTTTAATATGTCGGGTAGATGTGGAATTTTGTTGATCCGAATAAAATCCAACAAGTTGTTGTGCAGAAGATTGAAAATAGGCAAGACATTTGACCGTTTTGAAACAAGTAAAAAATTCAAACTCTATCTCTTGACCATTGAAAAAATTGAAGCGTTACAGTATGAATTAGTGATGCGCAAAAAGGGTCTTGGTCTTGCAGCATTCATAGTCATGGCCGTTGTCTTGCTAACCAAACGAATACTGCAAGACCAAGAGAAGTCTCGCTTATCACTAGCCTGAATTAACAATTTCTTTCATAACCGGTCAAATATCATCTCCACTTCCATTTCCCGAACATTTTTCAGAAATAACCCTTCCACTTCGTCAAACAACAACATAAATAGTTGAACAAACCGACCGCATTCAACGCGTTAGAAGGTCGATGGTGAGTTCGCACAAATGCTAATCCCGGTTGTCATCTAAGCCACAGAGCCGAAAACAACTAAACAGAAGTCCAGCGGCCCGGAAAAATCCGGTTGACACTTCGCACAATGCACATCACAGTGGGCTTTAACGACCACACACAACCATCGTGTTTTCTTGAAAACGTTTCCTACCGAAAAAAATGAGAAGACGATTGAAAGAGCCAACTGACGAGCCGTTTTAACGTTTAATATTTTCACAGAAGACCGCCATACTGATAAAGTTCAAATTCATTGACCGACAGGCTCATAGAGCAGCATTTTGATATAATTATTTTCATTTTTCAATTACCCCAAAAACCGTTCCAAAACTTGATTTTATTTCGAGTATAGAAGAAACAACTCAAAATTTACCTGAAGACCTGAAGAACAACAGGAAGAATTTCGTATACGATCAAAAATAATTCTAAATAAACCTTTCAAAATTAAACAAAACATAAGCTCAATAGAGCAAAAAGCATTAATGTCCCTAAAAAAGATAAAACAATCAAAATTTTGCCTGCTGATAAAGGTAATGCGACCGTCATCATAGATTATAATATCTGTGATCAAAAAATTAATGAACTTTTAAATGACAAAAGTTATTCAAAATTAAACAAAAATCCAACGTTACGTTAGATCAAAATTAACACAATAGTAAAACACCACATTTTTACGGAGTTCCAAAAATTCATAAAGTTAATATTCCTTTACGATCAATAGTTAGTAGCATAAATTCACATACACATCCCTTAGCCAAATATATTTTACACATTTTAAATCCCCTAATAAATAACACAACTTCCTATATTAAAAATTCTGAACATTTTTTACAAAAGTTATCAGACATAGACATAAATCGAAACCATATTCTAGTAAGTTTCGATGTTGTGAGTCTATTCACTAACGTTCCTGTTGAGAAAACTTTAAATATCATCAAACAAAAATTACAAAATGACACCATTCTTAAAGAACGCACACAACTAAGCATTAACACCATTATTGAACTTTTAACAATATGTGTAAAGTCAACTTACTTTCAATAGAATGACAATTTTTATCAACAAAATTTTGGAATGGCTATGGGGTCACCACTATCCCTATTTTTCAGTAATTTATTTATGGAAAATTTTGAATCAACTTTCATTAATAATTACAAATTTAAACCAATAATTTGGTGGCGTTATATTGATGACGTATTCTCCATTTACAGTCATGGCGAACAAAACTTGATGAATTTTTATCTTATCTGAATAATAAAGAACCAACAATTAAATTCACTATTGAAAAAGAACAAAATCACCAAATTCCTTTTCTCGATATACTAATTCAAAAAATTTAGACAATTTCGACACCTTGGTCTATAGAAAACCTACTCATACTAACCGATATTTGAATTTCGACTCAAATCACCCGATAATGGTTAAAAA